AAAAATTGAAAGCCTTTACTTTAAAATCGGGTACAAGACAAGGATGTCCTTTATCACCACTCCTATTTAATATAGTACTGGAAGTACTAGCCAGAGCAATTAGGCAAGAAAGAGAAATAAAAGGGGTAAAGATAGGAAAAGAAGAAGTTAAATTATCATTGTTTGCAGATGACATGATACTCTACATAGAAGACCCCCTAAACTCCATTGAAATACTCTTAGATACAATAAATAAATTCAGTAATGTGGCTGGATACAAAATCAATACTCAGAAATCAATAGCATTCCTATACACGAACAACAAAATTACAGAGAGGGAAATAAGAGAAACTGGACTATTCACATTAGCAAGCAAAAAAATGAAATATTTAGGAATTACTCTTATGAAAGAAGTGAAAGACTTATACAGGGAAAATTATAATACACTGAAAAAGGAAATTGAAGATGATCTCAGAAAATGGAAAGACATCCCTTGCTCATGGATAGGAAGAACAAACATTGTGAAAATGGCCATTCTCCCAAAACTGTTATACAGATTCAATGCAATCCCAATAGAAATACCATCAACATACCTTATAGATCTAGAGAAATCACTCCTAAATTTCATCTGGAACCAGAAGAGACCTAGAATCGCAAAGGCAATTCTAAGCAGCAAAGACAAAGCAGGAGGCATCACAATCCCTGACTTGAAGTTATACTACAAAGCAACAGTAGTAAAATCAACATGGTATTGGAATCAAAACAGAGCTGAAGATCAGTGGAATAGATTAGAAGATACAACCACAACTACGAACACACTCAACCACCTTATCTTTGATAAAGGAGCCAAGCAGGTTCACTGGAAGAATGACAGTCTCTTTAATAAATGGTGCTGGAAAAACTGGCTCTCCATTTGCCGAAAACTAAAGCTAGACCCATGTCTATCACCATGTACTAAATTAAAATCTAAATGGGTCAAAGATCTGAATATTAAAACAGAAACACTAAATCTATTGGAAGACAAAATAGGTAGAAACCTTGGAGACATAGGAGTAGGTAAAGAATTCATGAACAGGACTCAAACCGCACGGGAAATACTTCCCAGAATCAATAACTGGGACCACTTCTTATTAAAAAGTTTCTGCATGTCAAAAGAAATCTCCAGCATAGTGAAAAGAAAACCCACAAACTGGGAAAAGATTTTAGTGAACTCTCTCTCAGACAAGGGCCTCTTGTCTAAAACATATAAAGAATTAAAGAAAGTCAGACCTCCGAAATTCAAAGATCCAATCCAAAAATGGGCATCTGAGATGAATATGCAATTCTCAGATGAAGAAATGCAAATGGAAAATAAATACATGAAAAAATGCTCATCATCATTGGTCATTAGAGAAATGCAAATTAAAACCACACTGAGATACCATCTCACTCCTGAAAGAATGGCCAGGATCAAGAAAACCGACAACAAATGCTGGAGAGGCTGTGGGGAAAAAGGAACTCTCCTGCACTGCTGGTGGGAGTGTAGATTGGTACAGCCTTTGTGGAGATCTGTCTGGAGATTTCTCAAAAAGTTGGGACTGGAAATCCCATTTATTCCAGCTATTCCACTTCTAGGCATATTCCCAGAAGAACTGAAAGCATCATACCACAGTGATATATGTGCACCTATGTTTATAGCAGCACAATTTGTAATCGCCAGATCTTGGAAACAACCCAAGTGCCCATCAACTGAGGAATGGATAAAAAAGTGGTGGTATTTCTATACAATGGAGTATTATTCAGCTATAAAGAAGGATCACATTGAGATATTTATCAATAAATGGGCGCAGCTTGAGACCATACTCATTAGTGAAATAAATCAATCTCGCATGTGTGAATACCGAATAGTTTCCCTAATGTAAATAATGATCCAAATATATAAAAATATGTGGTAATCATGATTCCCCATTAGGTGGCCTTGAAGCCTTATAAAGTTTTCACTCATTAACTAGAAAGGCTTTATTCTGGGCTTCTTGATATGAAAATATTTGAAGCTAGAGTATATGAAGTTTTATCCAAATATTTCAAGGAAAAAGACACTATGGTAACTACTATTAAGTCAGGTTATGAGGTGGTGAAGTACTAGGTTGTTGAAACAGTCATGCTGTGACCTCTATTGTTATATTGTTATGTCCTGTTTTATCTCAATCTCCCCCTTATTGTTTCAAAAAAAATTATTTAGTCATTTCTTATGTTTGTCTTAATTAAAGAAAAAATTCAAAAAAATTAGGATATATAAATAGTAACTCTTTTCGATTTCCTATTAACTTGTTTTGAAGTCCTGTAGTACTCTCACGATCTTGTTTTGACTGATTAGACTCTGTTCCATTCTATATGATAGTATCAAGTTTGAAGACATAGGCAACTACTTTGAAGACAATAAGATTCACTAAGATACCCATTCTGGTTTGACTATTGTCTTCTTTGGAAGTCCTGTAATGTTTACAATGCCTAAGTTTTATTGGTCTTGTTCTCTACTGTTTTGTCCAACTTTATAATATCTAATAAGATAGACAATTCTTTTTAAGGAAACAAGGGACAACGTTGATAACCATTGTTGATAAACTTGTACTCTGTTCTACACCATGTGCTATGTCTATCCTTGGTATTGACTGACAGCTTTGTTTTGCCATATTTGACTGTATTCTTCCCCCCCCCCAAAGAAAGTAATAAGCACTAAGGAGTAATAAAATCCAAGATGTGTAAATTTTGTTGTAAAAAAGAGAGGGAAAAAAAAAAGAAAAAGAGCTCTAACGGATATAACAGCAAGTGTGTTTGGGGGTGTTAAATAGCTGACTTTATCAATGTTTTTGGAACATTGAACACAGCTGTTTGCAGTCTCCCTGTTTGAATGTCCACCTTGTGTTCTTTGATACTGTGATTTGAGGAACTATTTTCAAGAAGATAGTGTGTAATCTACTAGCAGGTGATTTCTTACTGTTATGTTTTTTTGTTTTGTTTTGTTTTGTTTTGTTTTGTTTTGTTTTGTAGTTCTGTATTGCGTGTACCCTTACGCCGCTTTAGTTTGTTTTGTGTTTTTCTCTTTTTCCTCTTAAAAAAAAAAAAGTTGTTTCTCCTAAACTGTAACAGAGGTAGCTGAGGGAAAGTTCAGGATCTTTCTTGAGATTAAATCAGTTGGGCCATCCACACAGGTAAGCAAGCAAATTGTATCTCAGGACATTCTGCTATAGCTGAACTTCTAATGTCCTGCCTCTCTCCAGAGTGAACCACCAAGATCAGCCTTTGGTGGGAGACCCCAGACAGCGGTATCATCTGATTACAGTACTTTTTAAGCACCTACAGTCAGAGTCCTATTGAGATATCAAAACTGGAAATGGAGACGTTAGTTAATATAATTTCTTTTTCTTTTTCTTCTGTGTGAATGTGTGTGTGTGTGTGTGTGTGTGTGTGTGTGTGTGTGTGTGTGTGTGTGTTACTAGGGAATGAACCTTTCCTTTGCACTGAGCCCTTCTTATTTTGTGAGACAGAATTCTCACTAAACTGCCCAAGCTAATTTCAAATTTGCAGTCCTAAGTAGCGGGGATTATGGGTATAGGCCATCACAGCCAGTTTAAAGTAATTTTTAACTTGTTACTGAAGGATTCAAGAAACAGATGCTACCTCTGAAGGTAGAGGAAAACAAAGAGAAGGGAGAGCTTGTAACCTTGAGAAGCTGGAAGAAGTCCTTGCAAACTTGAGGCTCCATCTTCTGGGGTGCACTGCCTGCTGTTCTAGTGTGTCCGACCAGAGGAGGAGCTGCCCAGAACTTCAGAGGCCCAGACTCCTGAGGAGGAGACATGGACTGGCTCGCACTTGTATTTCAGATACAACTGACTCTGGGATTATGAGAAAACCATGAACTAAACCAGTTGCTGCCCCTGGATCCATAAAGTGAAAAGCCATTGCCAGAGTAACAGTGATGGAGCAAAAAGAAAATAGAATGAAACAAAATCTCTTTTTAACAATCTATCCTTTATGTTTTTCTAGCAACTACTATTGGCAGAGCTAGTAAACAAGGGATGGTGTTGGCAGAATCCCAGGGCTACTGAAAGCCAAAGAGGGGGAGTTTTGAGGTGCACATAAGAGTATTACCCAGCAGCGCTTCACCACATGATTCTGTGGGGTGGGCAGGAGTGATTCAGCAACCAGGAGAAGCTACACAGTCCAGGACTCTTAGGTGTTTGGCTTCATTTTGCCCACAACCCAGTCTGTTCAGTCTTCTCATTGTCACCCTGTTCCTTTGATCTCTGTGTTTGCTTTCAGATTGTTGACTTTTGAGTTGTCACAGTTACGGTTTAGATCTGGCCCAGGAGTCCTTTGCCTTTGACAAACTCCAGCCCTCAGTGGCCCCCCAGGACTCTTATCAATCTAGCTAGGTAGAGGAGGATTAGACTTTGATTTCCATGGGGTTTATTTTTGTTCATAATCCTAGGGACCCTATTTCCCTAGTTAGCTAGCTCTGGTGATCAGTTACACTCTGAGTTGAGGACCAGTCCCTAAAGTGGTCTGTAGCCACTGGCATTGGCAGAAACCTAAAGAATAAAACTCTGTCACCTGATTAGTTGTGGCCTGTCACTGACCACTTCCTCTGCAAGGGCTGATGGGGTTGTTGTGTTAACTACAGAGTTTACCATTTAGGAAACACCCAACGAGTTAGACAAGAAAAAGAAAAAGATAGTCTTTTCTGTCCCAAGGATTTCCCACAAAGCATGCTGGACACAGTGACTCCTCATTCAGCCCATCACAATCAGGGCCCACAGACTTACTGAGTACCTACCAGCATCCAGGGAGGGTTCCAGGCACGAGAGGACAGCAGTGAGTACAGGAAAGTAATTGCTTTCATGGAAATCACCTTCTACTTGAGGAGAGGTAGTAATAAATATGAGTCTACTACCCCAAATGGCACATTCACTATTCCTGGGTGACAAATCATCTCAAAATATAGCATAGGATCTACAAACCAAAAAGACTTATAATCTCACCTTGCTGGGAGCAGGACAAGGGGAGGTAATGCCTTTTAGTCCCTCTTGAGGCTGTAGTCATGCTGTCAGCCAGGACTGCAGTCCTAGCTGAAGGTCTTTCAGGGCTAGAAGTCTGATTCCAAATGAACTCGGGGGCGCCATGAGAAAGCTTTGCTCTTCACCCTGCCCTGTGGTCTTCTCCAGAGAACCACTCACAACTTGGCAACCCTAAAAGAATGATCCAAGAGGAAAAAAGGAGCAATCAAGATGGCAGCCACAGTGTGGCTCAGAACCCACTCCTGGAACTAGAACTTCCGTCCTACTCTTCGGTTCATATTGTGTCATCAGGCTTTCCTGGCCACTACTATGGTGGACATAAACAGCCCTGGGTGGATGCAGTAGGGGTTCTCGGGCCCGCAGGTGCTGTGGGAGCACCTGTACCCCGGATGGAGGCTCTCACCACTGTCTTTTTTTCCTCTCTTTTCCACTGGAGGATGAGTTTTGCAGTAGCACAGCTACTCTTACTGATTTCTGTATCTCCATCAAGATGTTAGTGATGAATGAATGAAGTTATTCATTTGTTTTCTCTGCAGTTTTGCTGAAGAATTTAGCTTGAATTGCTTTTAAACATTACTTTTTTTTTTTTTTTTTTTTTTTTTTTTTTTTTTTTGGTGGTACCGGGGATCGAACTCACAACCTCGCACTTTGGTGCTTATGTCACTGAGCTAAATCCCAAGCACTAAACATTACTTTTTAAAACAAAGAATTAAGCATCAGCTATCTTTTTCTGATTCACAGAGCTCAATTAAATGCATAAATCTACTTTTTCTATGTCAACTACCTACAAACACTGCTGGTTCATGAAGCACCATATGGAACAAAATTCTGTGGCAACTTATTGAATGGGAACATTTTGTAAGAAAAATATTTTTGTTCCCATGCAAGAATGTTTCCATTAAATTGCTTCTAAATATGTAAAAATTAAAAAAAAAACTCAAAGTGGCAATAGAATACCCTAAGGAATCTAGAAAGCATGCAAAACAGCAATATTATTTTGATAATGAAAAACAGATATGAATGATATTTCTTAATATCCTTCTTTTTTTCCAATTGTTTTCTTTCTAAATTTATGTCGCATGTTCTGATTTATCCACAGCTGTGTGCAGGAGGCAGCCATTCGTACAAAAAGCGTTACTCGCTGAACTATGCCTCCCATGCATGTGAGCACTAAACCATCAGAAAGGCCTCAGCATCTCCTTCATCTGACTCCAGAGGGCTTTCTAGCTCCCATTTTATTACTGTTTCCAAATTCATCCCTGAGAAGCCAAGATCCCCAAGCTGTGGAAACTGTAATGTGTATAAAAATCACTCTCCAGATAATTTTTTAAATGTGGACTCTGGTTCAGAAGGTGTAGGCTGGAACCTAAGATTCCTTATTCCAGACAGAATCCTGAGTAATTAGTGGACAGTAGTCCTCATGTTATGTGTTGCATAGTAAGGCTCTAAAACAAGCTCCAGAGCATCCAAAGACTTCCTTCCTGTCTGTTTCCACAGGCTGCTTAAGATTTCTTTTTGCTTTCTTTTTAAATCAGCCTAACAAGGAGACTGAAACAAGCTTATCATAAATTTCAAACTGGTTCAACCATTCATTCTTCCACAAGATAATGTGGATTACAGGTGTCCAGTTGTGGAATCTGATCCAGTTTGGAAAACATAGTTATACATTTTCATTTGCACAATTATTGGTGCCAAGGAATCTACACTGTAGATTCCAAATGAAGCTAAATCCTTACCTCTTAACTTCCACAAGAATGTTCTATATTTATAGGATTTCCAGGTTGGAAGTGAACAAAGAGAAATATATAATCAGTTACAATACAGTTTAAAAGTTCCACTGATCACTCCACACAAATTATAGGTAGACACCATCTTTCTGCACGTTAGCTACACTGGAAAAATGAGAGTTCTACCTACTATTTATTTTACTTTTATTAAAGATTTCTGTATGTGACACATCTAATTCAAAGCAGTGCACAGTCAGTGCAGGGCCACTCACAGAGCCTTCACCTGCATGTACTCTAATTGTTTTACCAAGACATGGCAGTAGAGAGACTATCAGATGGGAGTTGTTGCCTTTCTTTCTATTTTTAATTTAAGAAACTATAAATATGCCACAGAGGGAATGGGAGCTGCTCTGCCTGGTAATCTCCAAGGGGGCTCACTCCCAAGTTTTACTCTTACCCCAATCTTCAACCCACACCACCCCGGAGCCCCCGCCCAGCTCTAAGTGGACAGCTAGCACCTGTTGCCTGCATCTCTGCAGCCGTGGGGCCCACCGCAGTGCCCTCCCTCAGCCAGCAAGTTCCTCCTTCAGAACTGCTGTATCATCCACAGGTTACAGCCCTTGGGGAATACACGGAGATGCTTTAAACTGTCATGCGCCATAGGTGTGGAGTAATCACAGGTGTGTCACATGACTTCAGTGTTGCCCTCAGAGATGCTGAGACTCACTTTCTGACTTCTAAATATCCAAAAGGAAGTCACAATGGAAACCCAACTGGCTGTTTTTCAATGACAGCATTTTTAAAAATTGTTTTTTAGTTTCAAACAAAACAAAAAAACAAGGCTAAAAACAATGGCGCAGAATTTCAAATCAACATAATAGGAGACAAACAGTGGTTACTATATTGCGTATGGTTATCTTCAAAGTAGTTGCTCAGATTATGAGATATAGGCTTGAAAAAGTATAGAACAATGAAAGCACAAGCTGTTCTTTTGATGAACTAACAATTAGTAGTATGATTATGTATGTATATATATATATATATATATATATATATATACATATATAGAGAGAGAGATAATTTTTCCCTTTCTTTTCTCCTTTTCCCCATCCCAGTTCTTTCCTTTTGAGCAGTTTCTTCCCTTTCACTTTCACAATCTTACTTACTCTTTCAGTTTTTTTTACACTAAGAAGACAATACGATGCTTAGACATGTGAGTCTGATTTCACTTGTGAGTATGGTTTCAAATTGCATTCATTTATCTAACAAAAAAGCCTCAACAGTGTCCTTCTTTATGGCTGAATAGTACTCCATTGCATAAAAATATATCTTTTTTATCCTTTCAGCAAATGATGGGTATTTGGATCATTTCCAAGATTTAGCTATTATAATTTATGCTACTATACCGTGGGTACACATATCACTTCTCAATTTTCAATTCTTCTGGAAAATGTCAAGAAGGGGAATAGCTAAATCAAATGGTACTTCCAAACCTAGTTTTCTGAAGATCTCCACACTGATATCCACGGTGATAGCACCAGTCTACACTCCCATCAACCTTGGAGAAAGTTTCCTTTTTCCCAAAGCCCTTCCAGCATTTGTTATTGGTTGATTTCTTGATAACAGCCATTCTTTCTGGAATGAGATGAAATCTCAGCATTCCTTTAATTTGCAATTCTCAAATGAAAAGTGATGTTGAACATTTTTTTATATATTTATTTGCCATTTGTATTTCTTCAGCTGAGAACTGTGTATTCCTCTTGGATGCCCATTTTTGGATTGAACCTTTAAGTTTGTGGGGTCTGCTTTTTTTTCAATTCTTTATATGTTCTAGATAAAAGTTATTTGTCTGAGAGACAGTTGGAAAAAATCTTTTCCCATGCTGTGTGTTGTTTTTTTGCTGTGTTGGTGATTTCTTTTGTGTGAGATTCTAGCTGTTGATTCTTTGAAGTGTTTCCCATGTGGGAAACACTTGGATCTTATTCATGAACTCTTTGCTTACACCTATGTCTTCAAGATTTCTGCCCACTTTTTTCCAGTAGATTTAGTGTTTCTGTTTTAATATTGAGATCTTTGATCCATTTTGACTTTAGTTTAGTTCATGGTGATAGACATGGATCTAGTTTTAGTTCTTAGCATGTAGAAAGCCATTTTTTCCAGCACCATTTACTAAAGGGGCTGCCTTTCTTCCAGGGAACATATTTGGCCCCTTTGTCAAAGATAAGGTAGCTGAGTGTCTTTGTAGTTGTGCCTGCATCTTCTAATCTGTTCCACTCATCCTCAGGTCAATAACAGCATTTTTAATTCGTTTTTTTCTTCCATCCACGTCTGGTTGCTTTTAAGTATTTTTCAAATGTTTAAATTTTTATTTATTTATCTATTATTTTTTTCTTTTTAGTGCAGCCTAGACTGCCCAACATATGAGTACCGACATGGTACCCAGGAGGTCCTTAATAAATTGGGCAAAAAGGTACATGAATGAAGATGCTTCTGTACGTACCTTTAACCCAGCCACCTTGAAAGCACAAAGGGCCACACAATGACAAGCAGCTCAGTCCTGCACTTAGCTTTGCACAAAGCTTTCATACAGGCTGCCTCGAATCATCTCCATTGTGACTTTGCAGGTTGTGAGGGAATGAACCCATTTCATTACCAATGCTGCTGTGCCTCAGAGAGTAAGTGACTCACCAAGGCCACACAGCTAGTAAGTGGCAGCACTGTGGTTTGTACATGAGTGCTGTAACTCAGGCCTTTCACACTGTACTGCTTTTCCTCAAGCTAAGGTAGGTAGCTAAGTTTTAATTCCAGGTTAATTGGGACAGGTCTAAGCACATTTCTGTATACTATGATTCTGAATCTTGAGACACCTCTTGGTCCAAATATATAGATCTTAAAGTTAGAAAATATATTAGTAGGAGCTAATCTGGGAATAGAGTATGCTACAGGGAAGGTTTTCTGGGGACACTTCTGGGAAAGGTGAATATGAACTGCCACCCTTTCCAGATTACCTCTGCTTCTTCTCTATTTTATATGTTAGGAGTTGGTAATACAGCCAGCCATACGGTGTAAAAAGCATGAAAGTCGGGAGTCTCACTCAAGTTGCACACTAGCTCAGTCACCATCAGTGTTTGGTTAGCCTCAGACACTGCCCACGTCAGTTTACTCATTCAGGAAAATGAACCACGAGAGCCACAATGAGGAGCAATAGTACGAGAGTAGGTTGGCTCTCTCCAAATGTGAGGTATTCTCACACTCAGGGCCCTGCTGGGGCAGGCGCCAGGGAACTGGTGCCAAGGTGGTGACCAGAATGAGTAAGACCAAGGGGGAAAAGCCAATTCCCTAGTGTGAAAAAAAAAAAAATTCCCTAGTGTGGAGCACAGGAGAGCCTGCAGGAAGATTCCCACGGCATTCCTAAGGGTCACCCTGCCCTGCCCTGGGAAAGAATTTCAGTGTTCCCACAAATGAATTGGACTTTTTCCTGTTCTCCATTAGGAAAGTTGGCATCACCAAAGAATCAGACTCTTTGGGAAAAGGAAATGTGTTAGCTATGTAAATGTTCAGGCTTCTCCCAACAAGTCCCATGAGAGGACAATCTTAGGATCTACCTCATGGGAGATAATGTGCAAACAAGCAACACATCCAACGTGGCTTCAATGAGTCTATGCCCCATGGAAACTGGGATCACATACTGTGCCATTTTTTTTCCTTTTTGTCAAAGTAATTTCAACCAGAAGCAGCGGCTGGTGGTGGAGAAAGAGGACACACAGTCTGGATTTAATCTCTGGAATTACACTCTGCTTAATCTCTGC